GCCCTTTTCGCCCTTTTTCTTCTTTGCCCTTTTTTGCAATGGCCAGTATCCAGGGAGGGCTCCATCTGACCTCCAGGTTTTGATCCGGATCTTGAGTTCCCGAATCCAGCTCCCCTGTATCCAGCTCCTGCCACCGCTGAGCCTGGGGTTTCCCCAGTGCCGCCTGCTCTGCCGCATCAGTGGTGATTGCTATCGGGGGAGGGAGTCGGGTTTGATATCGAGCTACTATCTATAGTTGTATATAGTTCTTTACTTTTATCATTCCACTATTATTTCTATTATTGTTTCATTAAAGCTGTTCTAGTTGTTTTTTCTTCTCTAACCCGTAAGTCTCTCTGCTTCATTCCCTTTTCCTTCCCATTTGGGGGAGGAAGAGGGGGCTAGAGAGCATCTGTCCGTGTTAGAGGCCGGCCCAGCCCTAACCCACAACATTTAAAAATCTTTTAAATACCTCCACTCAATCACTTCCCTGGGAAGCCTGATCCAACTCTTGACAACCCTATTTTTGTGAAGAAATTTTTCCTAATATCCAATCTAAACCTCCCCTGGTGTCACTTGAGGCCATTTCCACTTGTCCTATCCACCTTGTATAGGTGTTACATATACATACATGTTGTATACATATGTAAGTCTAGGTATTATATTTATTAGCAAAAGAGGTGGTTTTTAAATATAAGTAACCTCCAAATGTGAAAAAGCAGTCTATTTTTTTTCATTTAATTCATTCAAAAATACCTGTATTAGCAGCTATTTCAAACTGAAGGAATCACAAGACTTTTTAAGATGCACAGGTTCCAGTATTTCTGCACGACCCATATGGGAGCTGAAACAGCAGTTCTGAAATATTCTGAAGGTAGTAATATTGTAACATATATACTTCCAGCATCAGTCTTTTATGCTATGTCATTATTCACTGAATGCAGTCCACCACATGCCAAAGTTCACTCCCAAGGATCATGACAAACTGACAGCATATAACTCAGCATTTTTTCCTTTATTTTTTCATCTGCTTGCTTTTCTGAGAGCGCCAACATTTCTCAACACTCTACTTTCAGAGCCTACACGAGAAACGAAGTCAGTAGTGACTCAGAAGTACAGAGAAGGAAAAGAAGCAGAAAATTTTACCATCATTCCCTGCCCTTTCACCTTTCATAAAAACAAAATCATTAAAAATCCAAGCTATATTATCTGTGTTTCTTCGAATTAGCATTTGCACTAAGGACAGAATGATATTATAGCTATAAAAAGTGTAGAAAAGGAAAAGAAATAATTCCTTTGTAACACAAGAGGTTTCTGCAATACTACAATGTGACAGCTAGCATGAGATTTCTCAAGAAGCAATACTATCACTTCCCCCATCCTAACACTCCTTCTGACAATTCACAATAAAACCACAATAGTAAATGTTCTTCTAAGTTAACTGACTAATGCAATCAAGTGGAACTCTCCATCTGCATTTACCTTCAAAGGTTGAGACCACAAGATAATGCACTTAAAAGCATCTCAACTCTTCTTCAGCTTAGAGATAAAAGATCATTTCAGTCTGAAAACTGTATCTTCCCAATATTAGGTAGAGTTGGAACTCGTTTACAACTGAATGGAGAAGACTATGTACACTCCTACAAACACTTTTCCTTAGTAATAGATATGATAACGCTAAAATCCCAAGCTAGAAAAAATCTATTTTGAATTTTTATTTGAGGTACTTCTAATTAGTGTGATGTTAAGCTTTTAAAGCACTTCCTTTTAGTTTAACAAGTTAAGAGAAATCAGGTTTAAGATTTTCTCATTCCATACTTAAAAAAAACCAAAAAAGCCAACCAAAAAAATAAAAGCAAAACACTCCACCACCCACAAAAAAAAATAAAAAAACCCCATTTTTCTCTCAGGGCTAGACAGTCAGTATAGGCTGAAAAGCAGGATGACAAAAAGAGCTAATAGCATTTCTAAGCAATCACTTTACCTACATTCTAAATAAGACCATTAGATTTTAAGCTCAACACCAAAGTTATTTATAATAACAAAATATGAGTTGAAAATTAAACTGAAAAACCTAAAAAGCTACAAAGAACATACAATAGTCCATAGGCCTCATATCAGATTTAAATAGCTTGAAGAATTATCTAATTCAGTATTCAGTGGTTCATGTGAAACAAACAAACCTCTTGTGTCCATATCAAAAACTTTCTTCTCACATTGATGAAAAATTACTAAACTGACAAAGAAACACAGGAACCTTCCAGTCAAAGGCTAAAATATCAATTTTTTACAAATGATATAACAAGAAGTTTATAAGCCATTTTTGTTTGTTTTCTTGAATTTTAAGCTAGGAAATCAAATTTGTCAAAGACTAGAAATAGTAATTTTTAATGTTGTCTTAACATGAATTAATCAAATACTGACAGGAATGTGCTTTACACTGGAGAAAGTAAAATTTTATCTACCTCCAGAAATACGTACCTGAAATCACAACATTGCAGGAAGATAAATTTAAGATAAGAACCAACAGAATGTAAAATACATTCATGTTAAGAAAAATACATTAAAAAGCAATGCTGTGGAACCAATCATGGGGAAAAAAAAAAAAAAGTAGTACTCCATAAAGCAGAAAGAAGAGTTATAAAACAAAATTCTTCAGCAACTCTGTATTCATCACTAGACTTTTGAAAAGAAAGGCTGACAACTCCAGGTTGTGAGACTGCTAATAATCAGACCACTAGAGAACAAGAATGGCTGGAAGACAGTGTCCATCTCTAGAAATACAATGCCAGTACAAGAAAGGGATGTGATTTTTTTTTTTTTAAATGCCATGTTTTAAGTATTCGAGCAGAAATAATTTTCAGTAAGTTATTTCAAACGCTTACGTTGCTTCAAACTAGCCCTAAATCATTCATAACTACACTGCAACTTTGAGAAAATGTGAAGAAAAACAGACATGTTTGGTTAAACATTTCTTAATTACCTTTATTAGGAATAAGACAGGCAAAAGGACTTTGATTTCTACTCCTAAATAGTATTAGCAAATTCCTTTTTTACGAGTCAAAATGCTTTTGCATTTTTTGATTTATATAGGAACTGTGTCCTACGGTATAGCTGTCTGTACTTTTTAATATGTACACGTATGGTTTGCATTTTAAGTTTTACCATCTGTTTCTGTAATTCATTATTTATTTTAAGTGGTTATCTGCAGAGAGACTGACAAATCACGGTTAAAATTGGGTAAGTTACCTTTTTCTCCAGTTCTTGTTTTATTAACTCACATTTCCGCCTGAGTTTGATATTTTCTTCTTCATTTTGGGTTAATTCTTCTGTCAATTTATCACACTCAATTTTTATCCTCTCCAGCTGTCGACACTGAGTCTTGACTACATTTTTCTCTTCTACAAGTTCCATCTGACAGTAATGGGAAAATAAGATTACAAAGTCACTCTGTGATTATTTTAAAACATTCTCAGACTGTAGAGCTTCAAATCCACAGAATGCTACTGTAGAAGAATAATTCTATTTAATTGTTTACATTTAAGTTATATTAAGTGCAATCACTTAAGTGAACACGGAAAACACATATCACAGAACTGCAGAACCATACAGTGTTTTAAAAGCAGTAAACAGAAGTCTCAGATTCTACATTTCAACTCTGCTACACGCATCAGCTTACATCACCTTAAGAAGCCCACTATTTATGCAACTTTTCCATTACCAAAATAATTTGGACTCAAAGTCTAGAACTATCATTTAATTTCAGGATCTAATACTAAATTCTTATCTGCAAGGAAGTAACTGCAAAGATCTGTTATTTTCAATTTCTAGAACTGTGTGAGTTTAATGCTATTCAAGGAAACACTGCAGAGAAAAATGAAGAAAACATTTAAAGGGCCTTGAAAGCCCTAAATAGGTGAGTGAATAGAGTATATTGGTTTCCAATGGGAAAAATATCCGAATAAAACTGACGTATCTGAGAAATTCTCTAGAATATCTAGAAAATGCTAAAAATATTACAATAATACACAGAAAAAAGGAGGAAATTATATACGTACTGTTCAACATGAGCTTCATATGAGATAAACTGTGGGATGCAGTTACACACAAAAATAAACGTGTAGGGTAAATTCCTTTGTGAGGAAAAGCAAAAATTCTATTCTCCCAATTACACTATAAATAACTTTTATGTAGAAGGGTAAGGAGAGAAGTTTTACAAGTTAATTTCGACACCAGCACTAACAGAGTACAAAAGCTCCTCCAAAGGGCAATTCTGAGAAAGGACTTCAGCATTCTAAGCTCACAAAGGCTTATGACCACAAAAATTAGTCTGCTATGCCTCAAAAGCTTTTCTGTGAACATGCTTATAAAATCAACTTTTCAGTCCCTACTACAGGTAATTGTATTATAATGTCCATGCAGACAGAAACAATCCAAGAATCAAATTCCTCACTTATACTTCCTGTGAGACACAAAAGAGAAAGTTAATTTTTATTAATTTCCAGTAGGGACAAGGCAGATGTGACCATAATTTAACTGATGTGGATTGAACTCATTTTCCATATCTGAAAATCTTCAGGGGAAAAAAGAACTACACCTGCTTGGTATATGCATAGAAAACAATTTGAAAAGAAACGTGCATATAAACACAATTCTATATGTATAGATACACATCTCTATGCAATCTTACATTATAGACTAATACTTGAAAAGTGCTGTCAAGCACGACAACATATTGTATTTCTTTATTCTAAGAGAACAAGGATGTTTTTAAAGTAAATTGAGGGCATGTAGTAAAATTAAGGGAGAGATTCAGAGCTTCTGAACACATAGCTGATTAGGGACCACTAAGCAAACCACTTAATTCCCTATGCCTTTATCTAACTTTTTAAATAATAAAAAAAGTCATTTTAGAGATATTGGTTGGGAATCCTTTAGGGTGTTCTAGCAGATAATAGACTTAGAATCATAGAATAGTTTCAGCTGGAAGAAAACTTGAAGATCATCAAGTCCAGCCTTTGTCCCAGCCCTATCAACTGGCTAAACAATGCCCCCCAATGCAACATCCACCCCTTAAAAGCTTAAGCATCAGAATTTCAGTACTGAGACAGTAAGATCCTTCTCAACACTGACATCTTGTTCCTCTCCAGTTCTACTGCAACATACAATATCTCCATGGTACCTCCCCTACTACCCCAAAAAACCCTTAACTACCTTACAGTTTTTTTCAATTCAGTGCAACACTATGAAAAGCCAGACAAGAGCGCAGCAGGAAGTATCAGACAGAGAACGCAAGAAAGAGTGAAAAAAGGATCAAATTCACTTCTTACAACCTATGCAGCACTTGGTCCTGTAAACATAGGGCTCTGCATCCTTGATTTCCTGAAAATAACTAGATGAGGAATTTCTGTGAGTTAAGTTTCAGGCTTTAGGTCTTAATAAATGTGTTACATTTCCCTTTACTCTTCAAGTCTCTCCCAACTGACCTTTATTTTTAAGACTTTAACATTGACAGCCTCTGGACAGGGTTACATAAATTCTTTACCAAATACAGTTACAAAATTCGGATGAGGCTGAGGCATAAATAAGGTCAATATTATTACTGTAACAGTTATAGACAATTGGTTACTGGGCACAAAAATTTACTAGTCTGAAAAAAATAATAGGGAAAAAAAGGAAAAAAATAATAATGGGTAAAAAGCGCCAATATTTGCTGTTGGATTTCCCTAAACTCTGTCCTGAAACCACAATATTTAAATACAACTTGATAAAATGCATCCTGAGTTTACTTTAGCTTGGAAGAAAAGTATTTCCACAAAAGTGAAACCCAATTGGAATGATGAGCTCAGACAAAAAGTAACCCAATCATTTGTACAATGACATGTTCTCATAAGATCTTCCTACATATGGACATGATTATCTATTTTGCTGCACTTGGTTTAGAAACTAAGAGAATGTCCTGCATTATCATCTTGTGTACTTCTAAAATAAGTTGCCTGCCCTAACATATTTTAAAAAAAATCCTATCCCTTCAAGCCTTCTCTGTTTCAGAGGCATGAAGCTGAAAGGAAAACCAAAAAAACCCCCAAAAAAACCAACCACCAAACCACAAAAAAATGTATGTAGATTAAGGGTTCTGGGAAAGTCATGGTACTGCAAGCTTAAAGAAGGAAGTGATTTTTTTTAATATTCTGTTTAGGTGCAACAATCAGTATCAATATCAAGGCCATTACTGTAAGATTGACCTTTCTAAAGAGGAGAACAAAGTCACGATCAACTCAATTTTTGACTACTACCATCTCAAATACACTTCTCTTCCCTTGATATTAAATATAGAGTCTTCAATTCAATGTCATTGTCAAAGAAGAAACACATAATTGGATAGATCATTTAAACAATGCTAGACACATTGCAAATTAAAGTCTCCAATGTTAAGCACTGCTGTCAAAAAAAATTTAATTTAATGATCCTTTCACTAACAATTATCTAATTGTTCTATTGCTATCCTCATTAAATGCTTTCTGTGTTATAAGTGCTTAAGAATTATTGTCAATTATTTCTTCATGAATTACATATTAAATAACTGATTGTCCTTTTCTCAGTAAAGCCTGTCAATCCATAACTGCAAAAAATGTGGAAAGTATACATTTTTAACTAATAGCATATTTGTGAGAAGAGAAAGGAAATAAACACTCTTATATCACTTCTGATGAAGTAGATCATGAATCACTTCAGCTTCGATTACAGATTTTATAGCTTTTTATGGTTAAATTGGTAGAATTTCAACATGAGCAAATTTTCAATTTGATGGGATGGATGGAGATGGAAAGCATTGAGTGCTTCAGAACTGTGCTCAAAGTACGTAGGTAATTTACAACCTATCTGGAAAACTACTGCCTCTATTAATATGAATAGATACATTATTATTATTAGGACATACAAAACTATCACACATACATATTTAACCATGTGATCAAAATCGTTTCAATAAAAGTGCAACCTATAGCTTACACAACTGCTGACATTTAATTGTGCAGTTTAGATGACTTCAATTTAACTTTTTTATTTTATTCAGAAGACTGAAAGCCACTAAAACATTTGTATTCTTTCTAAAGCAATAGACTTGAATCAGGAACAAAAGATGTAAACTAAAGACATTGCTTCTTCATTAATAAAATGTTGTATTTCATCATTTACTATATGAACACAGTCACTTTTCTGAGAAATTGTACAGAAATTAGAAAATCTAAAAACTCTTCATGGGAGAAAAAACTATGAAAATTAATATTAACAACTGTTATACATTATCACTACTGACATTCTGAAAGCATTAAAGACAGATACAATGACAGTATTTCTTTATCGCACAATTTAAACATCCACAAAAACGCATCATGCCTGAAATACTTCAAGTTCTTTAATAGGGCCTTGACAATAATTGTAAAAAATAACAGTTGAAGAAAGCATCAAATCATTAAAAACTAAAAACTAGTTTCATATATCTCCTGTTCTGATTGCATGCATACCTATTTCAGTACTTTTGAACTAAGAAAATGTTTTGACCTAGAACTCTTAATATTACTTTTTTTTTTTACCCTGAGCTTTATACTTTTATGATGATCTGCAACAGAACACACATTAAATGCTTTAAAGCCCGTGCTTTATTACCTCCGTCATGCAATAGGGGGGAGGGCAAAAAAAAAGAAGAAAAAATTGACATTGAAATCCTTCAGAATGAGTACCTTTAGCATTTTCATCTGAGCCTCTGCCTCATCCTTTTCTTTTTCCATGAGTTTCATGAGCTCTTGAACATTTTGTTCGTGTTTGATTTTAACATTTTGTAACTCTGATCTAAGATCTGTCAGCTCCTGTTGGTGAACTTCTCTTTCCATTCTCAGCTTCCTGTTAGCTGAAGTCACTTCTTCATGCTTAGATTCCTG